AATAAGAAGTAACGAGAACCATCTACTCGAGTCAAAGCAGCATAGATTTGAGCGCTGAATGAGATTTGCTTAAAGTACTCGCCAGATGAACAGTAGACCTAATGTTGAAGTAGATGGAGGCCCAGACAGTCCGTCTACCCACAGAAGAGAACCACACCACTACCCCAAGGGCGCAACTGAGACAGTTGGGAAACATCTATTTCACGCCCCCCCCCTTTCCACTTCCATCGTGTTACAGCGGTAAAACAAAACCAAGGCAATTGAAGGTGGATGTGAGCGTAGTGTCGGACGGAGCAGAACCGATGGCTACGCATGACAAATAAGTATCGAAACTTACAGACATATATTTATGAAGGACACATGCGGTCTGATCACTGGTCCGCCCTTTAGATCACGATGTGTATCTTCGTGTTTAACTTGCCAGCTGAGGATGAGCAAATGGCTATCCACGCAACTTTTTCGACAGGTGTACGAGCAGACTGGGTGTGAGACCAAACCCCACCAGTCCTCAATTTTGGGGAGAACACTCCCGTACGCGAAGAACGGCTCGGATGCCGTTGGTCGCCTTCTCGCACCGCCGACCAGAAGCAACTATCACCAGGGAATCAGGCGGAAGAACCCACTGCTGCAACAGGAACTGTGCTGGGTCTGGTGAAATGGCAGAAAAAGAAACAACTACGTCGGAAATATATGCAAGTACAGTGTGAACGCAGATGGCTTCACAGCAGTAAGGCGAAATAACACGAACTTTTTGAGCACGAACCGTTTGACGGGGCTCGACTCGATGAGACCAACATTCGCACGGGACGTGACGGCTGTGTGATCCTCTATTTATGTTTTTTTCGGTCCGCAAGCCATCATCAAGAGAAGTGACCCCCCTCCCCCTCAACATTTAGGGCTAAGACTGTGTCTAGATAATTATTCATGCGGACGAATGCCTGTTTTAGTGACAGTATCGGTGACTCAAATGACTGAGCCAGTATCATATCAATAATCAACAAGGGTGATGTAATTGTGGCAATTAAAGACTAAGATTCAGGCGAGTACGCATTTATCACATCACGTTAGACCAGCAGTAATGAGTGCAACCGCATAGCTAGTGTAGCCCTAGTGCAGGGGTCGGCAACCTTTTTAACTCAGACAGCCAAGAAAGCAAATGTTTGGAAATATATTTCAGAAAGAGCCATATAGTATATTTTAAAATGAAAATCTATTAAATGCGAGTATAATAAGCCTCTGAATTTATTCTTTTAAATAAGGT